AAAAAAAAAAAAAAAAAAAAACTTTTATCTCAATAAAGGGAGACAAGGTTGGAAATAAGATTATTGGACTCGAGCCTCCCATTTATGCAAAAAATAATTGTTTTAAAAATATTTCAATTCATTAAACTAATTATTTGATTATCATATTATTTTTAACAGGGTTTATGCGTATCTGTCCCCGGTCCAACATTAATCGACCTGAGAAAACAAGTCCATGCCTCCCTAGAAACCGTCTCCTACATCTTCAGCGGTCGTTCCGCGGGTTATCTACTTGGATCTCTAGTTGGCGGCGTACTGTTTGACCATACGAACCACCAGTTGTTCCTCGGATTGGTTATGGCTGCGGCAGGGGTTGCGACTTTGCTGATACCTTTTGCGACAGAGATATCTCTACTTGCGACATCCCTTGCTGTCCATGGAATAGCAATGGGATGCTTAGACACAGGTTGTTTAAATATGAACTTACTCAAGAGTTAAAGACTGTCAAATAAACTTGTTCCATTTATTGAAAGCAATGTATCAAAACAGCACAATTCCTTGGAATATATTCCGTTCAGTTAAATACGTCTCAACGAAAATCAATTCAATATTGCCATTATGAGCCAAAAGCTGCGCACTCGATTTATTTATTTATTTATTTATTTATTTATTTATATTTATTTATTTATTTATTTATTTATTTATTTATTTTTGTATCTGCAGTACTTCGACCAAATATTATAATGACGATCACAGACTAGTTATCATATAATCATGAACAATATTATATCATGTGTTCCACGCCTTACAAAATTTTTTAAGACTGACTGTTTATTTTTGTTTTTAGGCGGGAACGCCCTTTGCCTCAGTCTATGGGGAAAGAAGAGCGGGCCATACATGCAAAGTCTACATTTTGCATTTGGAATTGGTGCCGTTTTAGCCCCTGCTATGGTCGATCCCTTGCTATCAGGAAGAAAATCTAGTTTACCACAAAATGGAACACGCTACAATACAACGTTCATTGACGTCGTTTCTCTGGCACGGTGGCATCCTGAGGGTAATGAGACTGATACAGCCCATGTAGTACCCTATGTGTCTGGGAGGACTTATAACATTTCGTTTGATAATATGGGCGATGATGGTAATGAGGAAGACATGTGGACGGAATCCAGAATCCAGTATGCTTTCTTCGCAATAACCACGTACTTGTTCATATGCTCGATCTTCTTTTTTGTTTCGTGTTTTCAGGACAGCGATAGCTCCACGTACAAACGGCAAGATCAGAAACGGCAATCAGATTGTTCTGATACTGCTCTGAAAACACGGTCGCATTCTCTGCGCTTCAAGATTCCCTTCCTTTGTTTATTAATATTTTTTTATCTTTTAATAGCTGGGTTGGATATAGCCTTTGGAGCTTTTATCACAACTTTCGCCTTTGATGTTCTTCACTGGCCTAAAGAAAAAGCGGCCAATTTATCGACAGTTTATTGGGGCTCTCTTGCCGCTGTGCGAGGTGTGTCAATAATTGTCTCGAAATTCTTAAATTCTTCCGTAATGATTATCTCTGATCTTTTACTATTAATCACATCTCTCTTCGCTATGGTTTTTCTAATTGAAAAGTTTGAATTTGCTATGTGGATCGGTACAGCAATGTCTGGGATCGGTCTGGCATCATTATATGCTGCTGGAATATCATGGGCAGAACGGTACATACACATCTCTGGGAAAATATCTGCTCTATTTAGTATTGGTGGCGGTGCTGGTAAATTTGTCTTCCCACCTTTAATTGGACACTTTTTTCATGTTAATGGGATGTCCTTTATTTATATATGTTTAAGCTCTTCTGTCGTTAACAGTGTCCTTTATTTGGCTCTGTATTTAGCAGCGCGCTGGCGCGGCGAACGATATTTACCCGTGTCTCAGGCAGCGAAGGCGACTGTACCGGAATCTACGACGACGGCGGCGGCCTTAATATAGAGTTATGTAAAAGTATTCTCACACGCACAAAGAAGGTCAAGAATTGTAAAGCAAAATCTCTTTTTTTTTTAACTTTAGCCTGTTGTGTCCGATTTAAGAGACAAAACTAGATAAGGTCATTCAGCAGTTCCAACAGGAGAATATGAATTGAATTTACTGACATGTACTGCAAAGTTATAACTAAGCAGCAATTATATTGAAGACTATTCTTTCAGTCTGTTACTGCGATTGTTAACTTATTGTTTCAAGTCATACATTGCTGATTTTTATAACCGCAATGCAATTATTGCCAATTCTTTTTCAATCGTCTCATATAGTTTGAATGAAAGACGCTTGGTAAATTTCGTAAATAGGTTCACTTTTTGCATACTTGTGCTATTTGTGTCCTTAAATGGAGAAAAAATCTTAATGACTAGTCATATTCATCGTCATCTTAAAAACAGCATCAGAAGCAAAGGAATAATCAACTCTACACTCGAGGGAATAAAAGCTTTAAACATGTATGGCAAATAATTTTTGTAGTCCAAATGTAATATTTAAAAAGATCAATTGTGACAGAGAAGAACAATCTGATCCAAACACAATGTAACTAAGAACTAACGCATTAAAAATGCTGTGTATTATCACAAATAATCAAACTTTTTCCTAATGGACAAAAAGAATAAACGGAATATAATAGTGAAACTAATGATTCTTTCGTTACTTAAAACCATGTTATCACTATTTTTACTAACGTTTTAAACCACTTCTTGTTACCCCTGCTGCTGTATTATTCACGTGGGGTATCTGTCCATTTATGCTTTTGATTTTTTTCTTAATAAATAAAACAATAAAAGTTGATATGCAGATATCCCCGGATATAAGATCGTATTATATATGCCAAATATACATGTAAAATAATCAGTAATATTGGTAAAAGTTTAACAGAATTGGGTTTGAAGCCTAAAACTAGGATGTTTCCATTATAGGCTACCACTATTTGTGGCCTACTTCATTGTAATTTGTAATTTAAATCATTTATGTCATAGTGACAAGCCTTTAATTAATACAGTACTCAATATAATGTACACAGGTTGGCAATGGATACGAAATGAAATCTCATATGTGGGAACGCATTTTTCCAATAAAGGTAATTGATTGGAAATTTACTATATAACTATGAATGGGTGTACGGAATTGTCTACAGCGTCACCTTATTTACATCTGGTCACTAGCACCGAGTTACCTGTTCAAATATAAGGCGAGGCAATCAGAGAGAAACGAGGCGTCAAAAATTATCTAATTTGGTTGAGGATGGTTAAGAAAACTGTCCACGAATCCTTACAGGCTTAGAGCTGTTGTAATGAACTCTGCTCCCTGGCTAAGTGAAAAGGAAGGTAAGACCCACAATTTTAATGGGAAATATTCTCATTTTTGTGTAATTCAAAGACGTGGATTTTGGGCAAATCCAATAACCTATCCTGATAACTGATTTATCTGACATATCTTCAACCGCTGTGCGTATGTGAGCAGGACGCAATTTAGGATAGAAAACATCATAGTGGAAAAAGTAGGCAGGACAGATCAATGTATCGAAATTTATAATGGAATGAGGTTAAGTATTATAAAGTCAGTACAAAATCCTGATACACAATTCCAATAATTGATATTCAAAGTACACTTTCATCATATATTCACCTGATAAGTTCCAGTATTGGTTGCTCTGGCTAAGAACTCTGGCTAAGAACTGCTGGTTGTATGCTGTTAGATTTGTTAAATTGAGTTTGGAATCATTTTTTCTCAGCTCCGCGCTTTTCACACGTTAAATTACAAATAACTGTATATTATCATACCTTGATTCACATATATTGCAATTTTATTCCAGCATATGTATAGCTTGATTGAGTCGACTTACAGCTGCTGTAAATGAACTCTGCTCTGTGAGTGAAAAGGAGAGTAAGGGCTGCAATTTTAACGGAAAATGGGACTGAGTGCGTTATTGTGTAAATCAAAGACGTGGATATGGGGCATATTCATCCTGACAAGCTCCGTGCTTTATCTGATATATCTTCAAGAGCTGCGTGTAGGTGAGCAGAAAACAATTCATGAGAGAAAACATCTGAATGGAAGAAGTAAGCAATCCAAACCGATATATCGACCTGACGATACCACTCAATTTATCGACACAAAAAACCAAACAAAGATCATAACTTTATTTAATGATGAATGGGGATTTTTTGCCAAAGGAACTGACCGTTTGTTTGAAAAGCTACGCTGTCCGGTTTCAAATTGTATCCTCACTCTCGAGAGGGAGAAATTTTTCCATGGAAGTGATGCAGTTGTCTTTAACATCCCCCCTCTGGTAAGGTCCAATCAATTTCAACGATATTTGCTTGATTTGCATTCTTTAAGGCGCAACACAAAACAGCGTTGGGTATTCTACACCCACGAGAGCCCTTGTTTTAGGGGATTTGCGGAAAGATGGCAAGAGATGTATTCATTTTGGCAAATGGGATTCAACTGGACGATGACATATAGGCAGGATTCTGACATCCCGATCCAGTATGGCAGTATTATGAGGAGAGAAAAACCTATGAAAAGAGATTTTGTAGATGTTGCAAAAAGAAAAAGTAAACTTGTCGCTTGGTTTACTTCTCATTGCCAGACATTCAGTCGACGAGAAGATTATGTGAAAGAACTTCAGAAATATATACCGGTGGATATATATGGCACGTGCGGAAAATTGAAATGTAATACTGGTTTGCCAAAAACCAGTTATTATGGACCGCTAAATAGTGAATGTCTGCAGATTGTAAATAACACATATAAATTTTATTTGTCATTTGAAAATGCGTTTGCAACGGATTACATCACCGAAAAATATTTTAACACTGTGCCATTGGACGTCATTGCAATAGTGAGAGGTGGTGCCAACTACAGTCGACTCGGTATTTCAGCGTTCATGTATATCGACACCCGTAATTTTAACAGCCCACAATCCCTGGCATCTTATATACTGTCATTAGACAACAACGTGACTGAATATGCAAAACTCTTGAATTGGAAGAATTATTATACTGGTACATCGTATTTACCAAGCACGAGAAAACACTGGTGTGAGCTGTGCCGCAAACTCCACGAGGACAAATCACTTAGTATGCGTAACGATATACAAAACTGGTATAATGAAGACGAATGCCGCAAACCAACAGATATAGGTTTGTGATGTCTACCAGACAAGAATTTAGAAGAGATTGTGAACAATGAAGACTGTGAATAGTGTTTACTTTTATTCAGACAGATCATACCGTTTGCCAAGTTGAAGAATTGCTTGAAAGAAAATCTCTTGCTATCCGTCTTGTTCTACCTAAGATTGAGTACTTTTTTTTTTACTCTTTCATCATTGTTATCAAGACAATGTTTTTATTTTCCTGTTTATGTCTATGTGTGCCACCTTAGTGTCTAACTGATCTCCAAATTTCCAGCTACAGTCTTGGAGACTGGTGAATTCCACGTGTTACAGTAAAAATTAAAACTCGAGATCGCGATTTTCTCGAAAACGAGTTTTTCAACGCCGCATTAAGAACACCATAGAGGTAAAGGCAAAATTGTTGAAAATAAAAAGGTATACCAAAAACCCAAAGTTCAAGGATGTTAATTGCCTAATTAAAAATACGATTGATAAAAGGCAATTCTGCTTTTTTCTTTTCAAACCAGATCTCTTCCCTTATTTGAACTTCTTCATAATTTATACCCCGTAAAAATTGCACCTCATCCGAACTCTTCCACGAATTGGTGCGAAGAGGATATGCGAAAATGTTTATGCGCATTTGCAAAATATAGTGGAGGAAAAAAGACTGTGGTTGCAAACCAACCAATAAATATTCATCAAAGAATGAGAAATTACATTATTCGTGTCCAAGATCCGCCTTAATCTGCCCGACGAGAGTGGTATTTCTTCCACAGCCAACTTTGGTTTTAAAAAACGCATAAACTTGTTGAAGTGTAAAGCATATATTTACCATCGATTATTCTTTATCTAAATTACAGACATGCTGCTCACATAGTGACCACACATGACAGCATAAATAAGCTAAACTTTGTAAATAATATAATCAAAAGAAATCACAGAAACAGCAAAAAATGACATGTTGGATGGACTTTGAGTGAATGAGGTAAAACTCAATAACAAGTAAAATTACAGCACATAGAAAAATGGATATTTGTAAGTAAATAAACTAGGAAGTTAAAACATTATAAAGTTGGTATTTCTGTTTGAAGCCTATACACGATTGCCTTTTAAGTTATAAACTGAAATAGTTCTATTCACAGAAAGTATGTATACCACAACATTAAAATGTACAAGTGTATACCATAAAGGTAGACTATACAGTGCAAACTCATCCACGTAAGCATCACAAGATTTATGTACACTGAATTCAATGTAAGAATTTCTCAAGTCACAACAATTTTCTGCCTGTACATGTATATACAAGGATAAAGTCAATATGACAAAGCCGTCCTAAACAAGATGTTCTCTTTACATTATTTGTCCCAATACATAATTCACCTTTCATAATTCATGGAGCAGACAGTCCAAATCATAAAATGTCACCCATACTCAAGTCGGCATCCTTTCAAAGTTTACCTTTTATGCCCATGCATTATTCAGGTTCATAAATTTAAATGCAAGTCCCATAAAAGTCTGCATTCTTATGAATAATTTGCTCTTAACTTGGCAAAATTTATATCAACAATTCTGACCAAAAGAACAATCACGCCCAGATAAGACAATAGACTAGTAGTAATATATTACCAGATATTTGAATGACAACAAAAGCAGCTCACACCATCAAATGTCTGGCTTAAAAATTTCCTGAACATCACTATCTGAAGCATTAATGTTTTCTCCCCGTGTAAATATTCCTTTATATTTGTAAACATGCAGGATGCTACATTTTCTTCTCACTTCAATTCTCTACGGTATTTCCAATATTTTACTAGAGACAAAGAATGATTTTAGAAATCACACACTAACAGGAAAATGGAGATCCTTTGACACTGATATGTACAATTTCTTTAAATGTAAATGTAAAAAAGAAAATAAAGCACTGTAAGCACCAGGCTTTACAGTGTCCTAATATAAAGCAACTCATCAAATTTGACATAGCTTGTTCACTTGAACCCTAATGAAAAAAATGCCATCCTAAATAAGGTAAATAAAAAAAAATTGTGACACAATTATTTTTTCTTATACTGGGTAGCAATACTTGTCCAAAGAAGACTAACCATACTCTTCAACAGTTAATAAATGTTTAATTCCCATTTCAAGGATTTACATGCAGCCAACATGGATATTCCATTTTTCATATGCTTATACAACCACCAATGAGTTGTTATTCTTTCTTAAATGCTATCTTAATACAGACTTTCTAAGTCAGACAAGTTACCAATTAAGGGTACATATATGTAATATCCCAATTTTACTTTGGTACAAGACCTCTTGATGTTGGGAACATTTCTTTGGCATTCTGTGACTGGTTCCGTTTACTAGCTGTTTTAGGTCTGAAATATTTTATAACCATTTCTTAATCCTATATGAGAAATTTTGATAACTTATCATGTACTATTTTAAAACATAAAAAATGTTTTTTTAATGAGGGTCTTTTTTATATCTACTTATCATGTTTTACTAAAGAAGCACACACTATAAGATCATGCCTTCAGCAAATGCTATGAAAGGAAACATTCAAATCAGCTAATAAATATACTAATAATGTTCAAATAGACTTTTTAACTGCTCTTGCTCTTACCTGTCCTTTGCAGATTTTTCTCTTTTCTTAGCTTTGGGCTTACTCTTGCCACCAAAAATAGCATTGCTAAAAATAAAATGAAACAGGAACTAAAACAAGGTCAGGTTCAAACTTTAAGAAACAAAACCATTTCTATATAAACTTATTATATTCCAATAAAATAACCAGACTCTGTGTATTCCTATTTTTGCCTAACAAACCAAACCAAACATTTTGTTTACTATTCCCAAAGGAGAAATTAGTTGTTGGTGGATCTTATCTCTAAATATCTAATCCAACAGGTCATAATATCTCTCTCTCTCTCTC